TTTTTCCCTTAGACCGATTTTATCCCAAATGGATTTTTCGGCAAGGTTTTTAATGAGGCAACTATTGATCGTGCTGCACTTTCAACAGTATCCGAGGACTTCATTCGATCGACCTCGAATACTGGGGGGTCATTAGGTCCTCACATACATCGAATTCAGATGCAAGAAAGTCATTTTACAACAACAGGGTTCCAATAGGAAAACTCGTAAGAGCCAAATGGTCAAAACGAACCATGATCATGTAGACTGGCCCGAAAACATGAACAAATGTATAATGAATTGAGATTTATTATGCAATCAGAGTTAAGAAAAACTCAACCATTACGCCTACGGGCTACTTTATCACGAGTTCGAAACATTCACTCGACTATTAAGCCTACAGGCTTCTTCCATTTCGAGTTCGAGCGAGTACTCGCTCGACCATTACGCCTACGGGCTACTTTATCTCGAGTTCGAAATATTCGCTTGACTATTAAGCCTATGGGCTTCTTCCATTTCGAGTTCGAGCGAGCATTCACTCGACCATTATGCCTACGGGCTACTTTATCTCGAGTTCGAAACATTCACTCGACTATTAAGCCTACGGGCTTCTTCCATTTCGAATTCGAGCGAGCACTCACTCGACCATTATGCCTACGGGCTACTTTATCTCGAGTTCGTAACATTCACTCGACTATTAAGCCTACGAGTTTCTTTCATTTTGAGTTCGAGCGAGCACTCACTCAACAATTACGCCTACGGGCTACTTTATCTCGAGTTCGAAACACTCACTTGACTATTAAGCCTATGGGCTACTTTATCTCGAGTTCGAAACACTCACTTGACTATTAAGCCTACGGGCTACTTTCATTTCGAGTTCGAGCGAGCACTCATTCGACCATTACGCCTACGGGCTACATTATTTCGAGTTCGAAACATTCACTCAACTATTAGGCCTACGGGCTGCATCGCTTCAAGTTCGAAACATTCAACGGCTAACAAGCCTATAAGCTACTTTTACTTTAAGTTTGAGCAAACACTCAACCATTACACCTACTAGCTATATTTATTCAAAGATTGAATCATTGACTCAACTAGCAAGCCTAAAAGGCTACATCACTTCAAGTCTGAAAAAACAATCGATCGATCATAGAGACTACGAAGTCAACATTTGATTAAAGTCTTCACAAAACAAAAACAAATCGACCTTGTTATATATATACAAGATTACCTACGTGATTGACTACAAACGTAAAAAATTTAAAAACTAAGCTTCCTGGTCACCCTCTGGGGCCTTTGCTCCACTGTCGAGATCTTCCCCATCCTCAGATCCGCTCTTACTGCCGCCATCATTGTCATCGGAAGCCAAGGCTTCAGCTTTAGCTTCGAGCTCTTTAGCCTTTTTTATCTCTTCAGTAAGGTCGAAACCTCGAGCGTGTATCTCCTCGAGGGTCTCCCTCCGAGACCTACACTTAGCAAGCTCGGCAACCCAATGAGCTCGAGCATCGGCAGTGTCCTCCGCCTCCCGGGCCTCCATCTGAGCGGCCTCGGCATCAGCCCGATACACGGCAATGGACTTATCCGCCAAGATTTTCGACGACTCAACCTCCGCCTTAGCCTCAGCAAGCCGTATTTCAAGCTCCTCGATCTTCTTAGCTTGAGCCGACCCCTTTTGCTTGGCGCTTCAAAGTTGAACATCGGCCGATAATAGTTTGGTCAAAATGGTTTCTTTTTCCGCAGCCAGGCGGTCGAGAGTTTCCTTCCACCGATTGCATTCAGCTTTGATTTGATCAACTTCTTCTCGAAGCAGACCGATCTTTTCAACCTTTTGTTGTAGCTGAGACAACGAAGGGTTAACTTCCACAGTCGAGTCAGGCCCATACTTTAACAAAACGAGGCTCACCTGCTTATCAAGTTCTGCCTCTTCTTCACGAGCCTTAGCCAAATCCACTTGGAGGTCCTTTATAGCCTCGTCCTTTTGGTTGCAAAGAAGTTGCAGAGCGTCTCTATCGCCCGAGACCTTCCGAAGCTCGGCCTTACATTGGCTAAGGTCGACTCGAAACCTATTAATGGCCTGCACAGTAAGGAAAAAACACTAGTCAAGTATGGAAAAGAACAAAGAAACCAAGTGTAGAAAAATCGATTACCCGAGTACTGAAACGTTGGGCCTCCTCTAGTAGAAGAGAAGCGTCACCGATATCGGAAGCATCATCGACTCTAGTAAAGCAATCCCTAAAAGGGCCTCCTACACTAGAGCCTCCGCCTATATCGGGGGTCTTCAATTTTCGAGCCTCCTTTAACGCCTCCTCAGAAAATGTTAGAAGACAAGGCGAATGACCCATCTTCATAGCCTCGAGCAAATCACTTGGGGTGCTCCGATCAAGACTCTGAACTTCAGGACCGACCCCGACTGGCACAACCGCCATTGGCTCGAGAGCTCTAGCAACCTCGATAGCTTTCGCAGATCAGATCACCAAAGCCGAGGCGTTATCTTCTTCTTCTTCTTCTTCTTCTTCTTCTTCTTCTTCTTCTTCTTCTTCTTCTTCTCTCAGTCGTTGGACCGAGTCAATCGAAAGGGCAATTTCTTTTCTCCTCACCCTCCGAGTTTTGGGCTCGGGGTCTTCTGGCCGAGATGAAGCTTTTCTCTTCTTGTCTTTCCCCAGTTGCGGGACCGTCGACTTGGTTCCTTCTTCACCGCTCGAAGGCCTCAAAGAGGCATCCTTGGTTACGCCTACATGAAAGAAAATCGGTAACAAATAAAACACAAAGAATACTTTGAAAGAAACAAGAAGCAAAACCTTGCCATGATTCTTGGCCTCTCATCTACCTTTAGCCAAATCACGCCAAGCGCGTTCGGCGTAAGAGGAAGTCGAGGCTAACTTCCGAACCCAATCCTCGAGGTCAGGTACCGCTTGTGGCATCCAAAGGGCGGATGAATATCAGAGAAGGACATTTTTTAAAAAATAAAATAAAATAAAATATATATATATNCTTCCGGAATGAGGTCGCGGGTCCTCACTCGAAGGTAACGACACATCCAACCCCGATCCTTGTCTTCATCAATACTCGACATCAAAGCCTTCGATGCCCGACGATGAAGTCTGATTAGTCCTCGAAAGATCTGAGGCCGATACAATCGTATGAGGTGATTCAAAGAAAAATTCAGCCCCCCGACTTTGATAGAAAAGAAGCGAAGTGAGATCACTATACGCCAAAAAGAGGGATGGATTTGACCGAGGGTGACCTGGTACCTTTTGTAGAAATCAATAATCACCGGGTCGACAGGTCCCAACGTGAAGGGGTAAGTGTAAACACTTAAAAACCCCTCCACATAAGTGATGACGCTCTCATCGAGGGATGGAATTTGCAACACGACCTCGGGACCCCAATTACAGTCTTTCCTGACGGCCTCGAGGTGACCCTTCATTATAGAGTACATATACGTCGACACATGCTCACATCGACCCGGAACGGATGGAGGATTCTCTACCTTAAAATCGGTCTTCAGAGTGCACGGGCTGGGAACATAGTCGTGAATGGACGGCTCCACCGGCGTCTTATCGCCGGACGGGCGTGAAGAAGAAGCTTTCTCCTTCTGAGGTACGGTTTTCGAAGTTTTCGCCATAGATACGAGAAGAAAGAATGCAAAGGAAAATGAAAAATTGACGGTACCAAAAACTCTGGTGTGGATGGCTCTAAAGCAACGAAATAGAGAGTAAAAGATGAAGAGAATTAGGAGGATTGAAGATGTAAAAGTGATGAATGGTGGAACGAAAGGCTATTTATAGATTGGAACAATGACGGTTCAATATTAGTTGCGGCCGACCACCGTCAGACATGCATTAAATGCCTCGGTAAAACCGAGCCGATGGGACAGTTATCGCATACGTCATGGCCGAGACCGATGTAAACGTCAGCATATATCTGATCGAGTTGCTCAGAAATCATATCGTTCCTCGCCACATCCTTTTTCGAGAAACGAGGGGACTATCTGTGTACGGTTAAAACCGTTTGACCCAGTCGTACAGACTGGTCGAGACGATGATGTTTCAATCAAAGGGTATCTGCATGACAAGCTTGGTCGAGGTCCGAAGTAAGGGCATCGAGCTTCGAGCTACAAGACCGACCGATGATAAGCCCGGTATCATTATCGAGTTCGTATCCCAATCGAACTACGAGGTAAAGCTCAGATTATCGAAGATGCCTAGACCGACCAACACTCACCCCGAATATCGATACCCCTAAGGCAGAGTCGAGCTCGAACCAAGACCGAGAGCTCGATCCAATACCAAGCTCGAGCCAGAATCGAGCTCGCAGACAAGAGCCGTTGCAACCACATTATGGGAGAGAATCTCGGCAGAAATCAAGGAAGAGACAAATCATCATGGGTCTTCCACTAAATGCATTATTTTATTATAGATAAAGCAATAACCCTCTATTGTAAAAGGGAGGATCCTTATAAGCTATAGAGAGAGGATAAGATTGCAATAGACAGATTTTCCCTCATATAAAAAGATATCTCTTTGTGCTTGATTTATTTGATCTCATCAATTTCTCTGTTCATCATTTTCTATCCTCATTGTCAGAATACTCGTATTGTTATTTTTGTATCAAAGGATATTACGTATCTTTAGAACCATACATAAATTTAACGTTATCCGATTTTTCGGGTAAACAATACTATTTTACTTCACAATTTTATAAGCTTGAAATTACTTAAACTCTAATTACATGCGTGGACCGAACTAAGGTAATAAAATGAATTTTAGTTGTTAAACTAAAAACTAGAAGTTCGAAAATGCGCGAATTTGATTCTTGTTTAAGTGGTGGGGAATGGAGAACTAACATTTTGAGGAATTCAAAATTAGACTGGATTAATATCAAACTTTCTCTCTTAAATTGTTTTTCCATTTGAGTAATCATTGTTATGAGAAACATAACAAAAGTCCACAATAGCTGCAAGTGAATTACAAGGAACGTAATTGGAAAAAAAAAAACATAAAAAATTTATTTAATAATCTTCAAAAATGCAAGTTGATTCCAATATAATGTGTAGGTCTTTTCCAACAAGAAGTTGAACCCAGGTGCAATTATTCAACATTAATTGAAATACAATACATATCAAACTTTTATTACAAACAAAATAAAGTTTCACATTACAAGAAGACAAATGAATTAGGAAAAACATTAGCTTAATTAGTATAAAAAAATATTAGTTATTTTTCCAACACAACCATCTTTTTTTAATTAATCTTAGAAAAATCAACAGTTACTTTCCCATCATGAGCTTTTCTAAAGAAATGCTTGACATAATCTGAGTACAAAACTTGCTTGTAAATTGCCTTCTCTCCATTCTTAACCACTTCTGGCAAAGGACCAATCAAATCATTAGGTTTAGGATTTACAAAAATAGGCACTGAAATCCTATTATTGCATCCATTAGCCATAACTCGATGCTCAATACTCTTGTATTTTCCATTACTCATAATTTGCAAAGCATCTCCAATATTAATCACAATTGCTCCATCAATTGGTGGGATATGAACCCAAGAATTACTGTCCAATTTTTTCACGTAAAGTCCTCCAATATTATCTTGAAGAAGAATGGTTAGTGTTGAAACATCAGAATGACGACCTACTCCCACTGTTAATTCAGGATTAGGACATTTAGGATAGTAATTAAGATTAATCCTCTTTGGACCCATTAGAAATAATTGTTGGTTTGAATTTGTTTATTGTTTTTGATGTACGTAGGATTTAAGTTGTACGTGTAGTGTTAGTATTGTATTCTATTATTGTTAGATTTTTTTTAGTATTACTTGTTATTCCTTTCGCTTCGTTTTCTTACTGTCTTGTTGTTGTTACTGGTTGGTGCTACTGCTTTTCTTTGTGTCTTTTGTGAGCTAAAGATCTATCGGAAACAACCTCTCTACCTAGAGGCGTATCTTATGTACTCTTAGAGGCTTGTAGCTAGATGTCATGTATACAGATACTTGTGTGGCCTTGTCAGCCTACGTTATAAGTATATAATGGATCACATTGGTATTATAGGCCCATATGTCTTATGTATAAGTTGGTATTTCATGTTGTATTTTACTTATCTCATGGCAGCTCTCCAGCTCAGTTATTTATAATAGTATGATACGAAAAGATACGTTATGTTGGTACTCGTTTGAGTAAGGTACCGGATGCCTATTGCGGCCCATCGGTTTGGGTCGTGACAAAAGTGGTATCAGAGCAGTTCTGTCCTAGGGAGTCTACAAGTCGTGTCTAGTAGAGTCTTGTTTATGGGTGTGTCGTGCACCACACTTATAAGTAGGAGGCTACATGGCATTTAGGACTGTCACTCTTCCTTCTTA